CCAATGCCTTCAATGTAGTATGCTACTTTATGCTCATTTTAATTTTTTTAAATGTGATCCAACAGATTGTACAAGTAGTTGAACAAGATCAATAATATGACATGCAAATAAAGTCTTGCTGAAGATTGTCAAATGCCTGGAACAGTATGCCAACAGAAAGCTGCATTCAGATTAGGCCATGAAATGAAGGACAATAGTTGAATGCAGAGGATACCAGACAGATGTTTGCTTACGCTTTCTTGAGTATGCAAAAGCATTATTTGATTCTGTAGATCTTTTTTTAAAAAATTTTTTTTTTAATTTTGTGTGTGTGTACCGTCAAATCAGATCTGACTGGTACTGGAGATTATCCCTCCTTCTCCAGCAGGGCATCTAGTGGGTTAGAACCATGTACTTCTGGGATTGCAGTGCAGCTTCTTGCCACTAGGCCACCAGAGAGAGCTCCCTGATTCTGTAGATCTTAATAAATTATTACTAACATTGAGAAGAATCAAAAGTCCAGAGCACTTAATTGTGCTCAGATGGAACCTGTACATGAACTAAGAAACTGTTGCTTGCCTGAATGTGTGCCATGGATTGAATTTTGAACCCTTGAAGTATGTAGATATAGTGTGGAAGATGATTTCATTTCCCTGTGTGTGGCACACACCACTGTTGTCTCATGAAAGAGAAAAGCTAGCATCAAGATTTAAGGGCTAGAGTAGAATGCATGCTCTGGACCTAGGTTCTTGTGCTAGGGAGCTCCCAGACATGTGAAATCCTCAGGGAAGGCCCTGCCTCAGATGCTGAAACACATTCCAGAGCTGACAGAGAACACCTTCCCCTATGGCCAGCACCCTGATTTGGATTCCTAGCTTCCTAAATTGAGAATACATTTCTCTTTGTTAAAGCCTTCTGCTTGAGTGGTCTCTGTTAGAGCAGTACCTGGTGACCAGGACAGCTTGAAAGTTATTTTTACTAAAAAATGTGAATTAATGGCACTATTTTTTCCAAACTTTTACTGGTTAGGGTTTTTGGTGGTGGTTTTTGGGGTTCCCCCCCTTAGCTTCTGCTGCCCCGAGACACTTGCCAGCTATCTTGTCTTTTTCTGTGTGCCTTTGAAAATGACATTAATGATCCTTTGAACCTACCACTCTCAAACTTTAGGATCTTAGGTGGTTACATCCATCACACAATGGTCTTTTTTTCAGGTCCTGGGACTTCACTGAGTTAGTGCTTCATTTCTGTCATCCCTTATGGTTTCTCTAGTCTTTCTGTTCTTCAATCTTTGAGCTTTCTTGCCTGGTTATTGTGACTGCTGTCGTGGGCTTGACAAGGTCGTGGAAGGGAGCAGATTAGGACAAGGTTCTGATCTTATTTCATGTTTTGCTTTGAGTCAGAGTGGACTTGATGGCAGTAGCGCCAACAGTTTTTTTCAGGAAGGACAGTGCCTGGAGAAAGACCTTGTGCTGGGTAAAGTGAGGGTCAACTGGGCCAGGGTCTAGCCATGGGATTAAGCACCGCAGGGTTCCGCCTGCATCCACAGGGCCGTGGGGGCTAGACTGCATACAGCATACCAGCTATGCGTCATTTATTTTCTTTCCTTCTCTCCTCTCCCCTCCCCTCCCCTCTTCTATAATTTTATAAATTTATCTTGATCAGTTGATCCTTCTGTTTTTGTACCAGCCATTGTATGTTGGTAAGCATAATAGTTTAAGTTTTAGTCTTTTGTCTGTGAGGTAATTTCAGCTTCTACTCTGCCTGTCTTTCCTTTCCTGCAAGGCCTTGGCCTTACAGGCCTTGTGACCTGGGCTGTGGGCTGCATGGCTGATGGGCAGAGGATGCTGGCTCAGGGGCTGGACACAGACACACCACTTTCATGCATTTTGCAGATTATTTATAATTCATTTTGCTAAGATTAGTAGCAGACCAGTCATAAGAAGTGTTGAGTCAACGTTTTCCAAAATACTTGATCTGCTGTATGTGTAACTTTGTGATTTTCAACATAAGCAGCTCCCACCCTTTTTCCCTTTCCCCCCCCAGTTCCCTATCTCCTCTATGTCCCTTGAGTTCAGTGGCTCGCTGGAAGGTCTCCCAGCAACTCAGACCTGTCAGACTCATGTTTCTGTTGTTACGCAGGCTGGTTTTGCAGAAACTGGTGAGCAAAGGGTTAGGATCCTGTAGGCTGTCAATTGTGGTGCAGCTGGATGGTGATTGTGGGTGATGCGGAGACGAGACTGGTGAGCAGTGGGTCAGGTTGGATGGAACAGGATGCTCTGCCCCAGGTGAGCCAGCATTTGAAAAGAGAGAGACTAGTACTGAGGTCTCGTGAGCTTATATGAACCTCTAAAAGGGTGGGGTTTGAAACCCATTCTAATCCTCTCCTTAATAAAAGAAATACTTCAGCCCAAAACCAACAGTTAATTATTGGCTGGGAAAGGCATTCTGAATGATAAACTTTAGACTCCTAGAGCAGGTGGTGGTGGGTTTTACAGATGGCAGGTCTGCAGGCAGCGTGTTTCTAACACTCTGCTCACTTTGTGTTTCTGTAGGCACCATTCAGACATTCTCATGCTTGTTCACATTTCTCTGTGTCACTGCTGCACCTGGGACACTGCATTGAGGGTCCTGAAACCGTGGCGCCCCCTCGACTCAGATTCCCCTTCTCACTGCAGTGTGCAGTGACTGAGCAGCCTTCGAGGTGGGGCGGCTGTGTGGGCAGCGTCTCCAGGCCTTGTCTTGCCAGTAATCCCGGAGATGTCTCAGCTCTTTGTGAGGACAGGCAGGAGCTGACTACCAGAACCTGTGGAGCTGAGTTGGGAGTCTTTCGGCAGTTTTCATCTGAACACTGTCAGCAGCATGTGCCTGGAATTGCCCTGATTCTGCTAACAGCTTAGGTGTCCATGCTGTTGGCTCTCAAAGTTAGCACTGCTCTGGCTCCTTTTTCTAAAATAAGACATGCTGGAGTCAAGGAAGTGTATGCCTAAGCCGACCCCTCACAGGATTGGTTTTCTGGCTCACGTGGACATCTTTATCAGCTGGCATAAAAGAATCTCTAAAGTTATGCTTCTGGTCTTCCGGGAGTTGTCTGCTGATCCAAGGTCGAGCCTCTCTGCTTTAAATCCACAGTGGCTCCAAGGAGCAAAAATAGGTCAGGGGGTCTCCTGGCACCCAGAGGAGGGATTGGGGTGGGGGGACAGGACGAGACCTTGTGAGTCTGTGTCGATTGGAACATCAGACGCTAGTTTTCCACTTGGTGTGTATGCAGTCCTGTAGGATGCAGCCCCACTATAATGTGTTTCTGACTTTGTTGTTGTTAGGTGCCATCACGTGGATTATGCCTCATCATGACCTTCTCAACAGCAGAGCTGGACTTCACCTGTCCCACCGGCTCTGACACACCGTGTTCATTCCCCTTCCCAGCATGATATACTTTTCTAAACCTGACTCCCTCTGACAACATATTCAAAATACATGGGAGCAGGTGTCAGCAAGCTTGCCTCTGTGGAACACCTTGGGGGCACTTCCTCCAAGACAGTAACTGGAAGGTTCAGTCATTTTAATCATCAGCACCGCAGTTCAAAGACATCTTGTCTTCCTTACTCATTGTCCACATTTCATGTGCAAAGGATACAGTTAAAAACACACTGGCTTCTTTAGCTTAAAGAATTGGTGAGATTGATCAGTGTGCACATGGCTTTCATTTTCACTTAGAATACTGGTGTATTAGGAGTGGTGATTCACATTATTAGGATTGTGCTGAGATGGTTTGTTGGGCTGCAATGAGCTTTGACATTTTTATGAACTGAAGGTTACGACCAGCCCTGCATGGACTAGTCTGCTAGCACTGTTTCCAAACGGCACTTACACGCTTCATGTCTCCATGTCCCATTGTAAACACTGTCATCATGCTAATGTGCATTTAGTAAATTAGAACATAGTTTAAACCAAACTAAAGGAGCTCTGGTGGCCGAGTGGTTAAAAGCTGTGCTGAAATCCCCAAGATACACAGTTTGAATCCATCAGCTGCTCTGTGGGAAAAGGATGGCAATCTCCTTCCATGCATTTACTACTTCTGAAAATCATCTGGAGGGGGAGGGCCAGCTAGGGGACAACAGCAACAACAACATCTCTGGGAAACCAGCCATCCTTGTAACTGACTCCATCCTGGTGATGGATTGAGACATTCCACAGGATTGGCCTGCTTGTATTTGCAATACCCATGCTTGTCACATAGGTCACCCTGGCCTGTTGGCACATGGGTACGACCCTCTTCAGGACAGACCTGCTCATTCATTGTCTTGGCAGTCCGTAGTACCTTCAAGACTTCTCTAGCACCACAATTCAAAGGTATCAATGAAGAAATTCTGTCATCTTTGATCATTGTCCAGTTCCCTGATACATAGCTAGTACTTGTAACCTTGGCCTGGATGAGATGCACCTTAGTCTCTAGACTGGCATTGTTGTTTGTCAGTACTCTGGAGAGGTCCCTGACAGCAGATTTACCCAGTGCAATTAATCTTTTTATTTCCTGACTGCCGGTGGCAAGAGTGTTGATTGTGTTTGAATTTTTTTTTAAATTATTTTATTATTTTTGTGTGAATGTACTGTCAAATCAGATCTGACTGGTACAGGAGGAGATTGTCCCTCCTTCCCCGGCAGAGCATCTGGTGGATTCGAACCGTGTGCCTCTGGGATTGTAGTTGCATTTCCTTGCCACTAGGCCACCAGAGCTCCCCTAAGAGTGTTGATTGTGGAGCCGAGCAATCTGTAACTGTTGACAACCTTAATCTCATCTGTCATGATGCTGCCATTTGGCCCTATGGTGAGAATCTTTTGTTGACGTTGAGCTTCAATCCATATTGAAGGCTGCAGTCCTTGACCTTCTGCAGCAGACAGTTCTGGTCCTCCTCAGTTTCAGCAAGCAGGGTTGTGTCATCTACTTAACGTGGTGTGCAGTTCAGTCTGTAACAGTTTGCAGATGGTCAGCAAGCAAAGTGAGTGGTTGCTCTTTTGCAGATATGGAGCCAGAATTGCAGAGCGGGGCTCCTGCCCAAGTGCAGCTCATCCGAGAGGCGTACCAAAAGGCCTTTCACTTCGTCAACCAAGGGCTAAGCACCGATGAGCAGGGTCAGAAGGAAGAGGCCAAGACACACTACCGGCAGGGCATCGGCCACCTGCTGCGGGGCCTCAGCGTGCCCATGGCCGAGGCCCAGCACACGGGCCCTGACTGGGAGTCCGCACGCCAGATGCAGCAGAAGATGCGAGAAACACTGCAGAATGTGCGTGCACGCCTGGAGATCCTGGATCGCGGCCTGGCCACCTCACTGCGCAGCGACCTACAGGATGTGCCCAAGCTGTATCCTGAGTTCCCCCCCAAGGATGGGCATGAGAAGTCCCCAGAGGAGCAGGATGTCAGGTCCCCTTCCCAAGTAGCTCTGGCTAACGAGGGGGCATCCTCAGCGGGGGCAGCGGCCCCTCTGCCCTCCCCATCCCATGGGAGACCCTCAGAGGCACCGCCTGCGTACACACCCCAGGCTGCCGAGGGTCACTGCACCGTGTCCTATGGCACAGACTCTGGAGAGTACTGCTCCGGGGGTGAGAACTTCTACAGCAACCGCCCCCAGCCTCCCCCTCTGGAATCCCTTGGGCTGGACGCTGATGAGCTCATCCTGATCCCAAACGGAGTGCAGCTTTTCTTTGTCAATCCCGCGGGGGAGGTCAGCGCTCCCTCCTATCCCGGGTACCTGAGGATCGTGAGGTTCCTGGACAACTCCCTGGATACGTTCCTAAACCGCCCACCAGGGTTCCTTCAGGTAAGTGAAGGAAAGCTAGAAGGCTGGGTGGCTGTGGGCAGGTGTCACTGGTCTTTGCTGGGGCCTGCTTAGCATTTAGATGTAGCTATCTCCTGCATTGTGTATACTTTTGGCAACTAGCCACCCCTCGCAGCAGCATTTTCCCAAGTGCACTGGGGCACGTAATGCCTCTGGGCACATGGAAGTGCTGGTGTTTCAGTCAAGTGTGCAGGTTGATGTTCTAGACAAGCATTGGTAAATCCTGGATCCTTTCTGGACGTATAATACTGTCAACTGCTGGAAACTGTGAGGTGGAAACCAGTCAGAAGAGGATGCTGCAAATAGTTCCATGGTGGCTATTAGAACAGTGGGAATACTGCAGCTTGTCACACCCAGGAGACTGGCCATTGTGGTGTCCAGGTTCAGTGTCTCCTGTGTGTCTGGCTTCTGGAGTCCCCAGTGTCAGTTTATGCTGGATATTTGTTTTTGTTTGCTTTTTGCAACTTGGAGTCTTGTTTTGACATTAAATTTGGCAGGACCGTGTAAGGAGCTGGAAATTTCCATTCTTATATATTCAGTACTTTGGGCGAAGGAGCTCAGTAGAGTGACACTTGGGAGGCTGGACGTAGCAAGTCTGCTGCCAGGGATTCTGCCACATCTTTAGGTGTTTTAGGGTATCTCACTGGAAGAGTGCTCCAGACAGCTACACATCCCCCAGACGTGCACCCCAACTACACTCCACCAGAACTACACACTCACTACACCTCCTCTAGATACACCCTGACTACACCACCTCCAGATACACCCTCACTACACCTTCTCCACAGATACACCCCCACTACACCTTCTGCAGCAGTAATGGTAGCTTTACTGCCCTGGGTACACGATGTGGAAGTGAATGCTGTAGTAGTTCCACTGGGGATGCTGGTCTCAGAGCAGAGACAGGTATTAAGGACAGCTTGGTACATGGATTCTGCCGTGAATTGTGGATCAGATGACAGTTCCCGTGGGATACCAGACTCAACAAATGTTGTTATGGTGGTTGGCATGATGGTAGAGTCCACTGCCATGAGGTAGACATCCTGGTAATCACTCTTAGTAAACTTAGTCCTGGTCTTTGTGTTTTAAATAATTTTCATTTCTCCCTTTTTGGTCTTAAACAAAAAATTACACTTCAGATTTAATTTGAGTATCATATTACCTGAAATTTAATTTGAGTCTCTTTCTTTAAAAAGGAGTTCTGGTGCTAGAGGAGTTAATTCTTCACTGCTCAGTATACGGGCCAACCCCCTGGCTGTTCCGTAGGAGAAAGTGGCTGTTTCATTAAGGATTGTTGAGGTTCTGGTCGCCTAGTGGCAAGAGCTGTGCTACAGTCCCAGAGGCATGCATTTCAAGTCCACCAGCTATGGGTCAGTCTGACTGAATGGCATGTAACCACATGAACAGACCTGATGGTAATGAGTTTTGCCTGAGGGTCTCTCATTTGTTTGTATTTATTCAGATATATGTAGCAGAATGTTCTGGAATGATGTATTAGTATTTTTATGCTGGAAGAGAGCTCTCTGGAGAGCTCTGATGGCCTAGTCTGTTGGGTGTTGTGCTGCTAAGCAAAGACAACACCTGATGGTTCAAGGGACCAAGATGGGCTATCTCTTCTCCTGCTGTGTGGCTGCAGAAGCCTGCTGGAGGTTCCAGCTCGACAGCAGGGAGGTGGTTCTTAAGTATTAGAAAGGAAATACTATTTTGTCTGCTGCATAGATTACCAGTAGTCGGTTTAGAAAATTAGAGATCATTTGGTTTTAAATTGGCCAGTTTTGGAGTGGATATTCTCATAGTGTTAATAGCTTTAAGTTCATCTGTCGTGTGTTTCCAGATCCTGACCGTGAGAGAGCCCTCGGCATGACCTGTAGAGCCACCTGTCGGCGAGGGAAAGACCCCTCACAGTGTCCACGCTTCACTTGATAAAAATGCAGTATAGTTGAGGTCCCCAGTTGTAGCTAGCTTCTAGAGAAATCAAGCAATAGTAAAATCTTTCTAAATTGTATTAATTTCATTCATTGAAGAAAAAAAGCTGATCTTTTTTTTTTATTTTAAATTTATTTTATTAGTTTTTTGTGTGTAGCGTCAAATTGGATCTGACTGGTACAGGAGGAGATTGTCCCTCCTTCTCCAGCAGAGCATCTGGTAGATTTGAATCACATACCTCTGGGATTGCAGTGCAGCTTCCTGCCTCTAGGCCACCAGAGCTCCCTAAAACCTGATCTTTTTAAAGGGAAAACTATTTTATTGACGTTCAAGGGGAGAGGAACATTTTGCAAAACAGGCATAGTCAGAAAATTCTGACAGACCACCGTGAATGTCCCCATGTTTGTGAGGATAAAGCTACAGCTGTGGTGGGCCTGGAGTGGTGTGAAGGAGCACATCTAATTTAACAATAGGAAGGACCCAGAGGTTCAGGGTTAGGCATTCATGAAGCCACAGCTGAAGTGTGGGCACATCCGTTCGGACAGCACGACAGAACCATAGGTGCAGGGGTAAAGGTTTGTGAAGCCACAGCTGAGTGGGGTTCCTGTGAAGACCATATAATTAGAGGGATGGAGTTCTACATGTAGGGTCTTGACTCACCGACCTCCTTTACATAGGGGTCTTCAGGGGATCTCATTTTGCTGCCAATACAGGGGTTTCCAAGTATAAGGAAGAGAAAAAGATAAAAAAAGGTCTTTAGGTGAAGGGGGAGGCGGTGTCTTGACATGGCACGCTCAGCCGTGGAAGGTTCACAGTTAACTGTCTACCAGCCCTGGATTTAAAATGAGCAGGCCAAAAAAAAAATAAAATAAAAAAAAATGAGCAGGCCAGGGTGGGAAAGCAACTGTTTGTGTCTCAGTTAAATGTAGAATGTGCTTTGTCCAGTGGTGCCCAGCAGCAGCATCTGATAGGTTGTTTTAAGGGACACATGGTAGAATTACTCAGGACAGGGCATATGTGGGCCATGTCTGCACCAGAAGGCCCAGTCCTGGTTGCTAAGGCTTCCTTTTCAGAATGATCTTTCTCACATTGTTATCTTTACTGTTTTCCTCTCAGATCTGTAGCTCTGTGTTTCAGAATGTTTATTTTGTGATGTTAACAATCTTTAAAGCTGGGCAAAATCTCCATCCTTTAATTGATCTGTTTGTCTAAACGCCTGCCTCAGGTTTGTGATTGGCTGTATCCTCTGGTCCCCGACCGCTCTCCAGTTCTGAAGTGCACTGTTGGGGCCTACATGTTTCCTGACACCATGCTACAGGCCTCAGGGTGCTTCGTGGGCGTGGTCCTGTCCTCGGAATTACCTGAAGATGACCGAGAGCTCTTTGAGGACCTATTGAGACAGATGTCTGACCTGCGCCTCCAGGTAAGATGTGTGCTCCTGTCGGGGAGCGTCCACTTGAGCAGAAGCACCTCTTTATGAACTTGTGAAGAGTTCTCCATGAGGTGTCAGCTCAGCTCTCGTGCACAGCCGCCCTGTTACGCACAGTGGAGGACACCCTGCCCGGTCTGGTGCCCTCTGCCTGGTCCTGTGCCGTCTGCCCGGTCCTTGTGCCGTCTGCCTGGTCCTGTGCTGTCTGGTGCACAGCCACCTTGTTATGCACAGTGCAGGACACCCTGCCCGGTCTGGTGTCCTCTGCCTGGTCCTGTGCCGTCTGCCCAGTCCGGTGCCCTCTGCCTGGTCCTTTGCCGTCTGCCTGGTCCTGTGCTGTCTGGTGCACAGCCACATTGTTATGCACAGTGGAGGACACCCTGCCCCGCCCTGTGCTTTCCTCACCATCGCTGTTGTGCTGGAGCCCATGGTTGCAGTGTCAGTCCATCTCCTGAAAGAGCTTCATTCTGCATCACGCAGCATAGTGTACTCCAGAGATTGATTGCATACCCAAAATAGGGACGTTGAATTCCTGCCAACCTCCTCTTCAAAGAGCATCCTGGCTACACTTCTTCCAGTGTAGTTTGTTGTTGCTGTGAATTGTCGTATCAGAACCAATTCACTGCTGGCCCTCAGTGGGTTTTCAGAGAGGAGATTGCCTGTCCTTCTCCTGAGGAGCAGCTGGTGGATTAATACCGTCGAGTTGGCAGCACAGCTCCTTACCACTAGGTCACCAGAGCTCCCAAGATAGATTAAAAATATGGAATTTGCACTTTTCATGACCCTCACAAAAACCTGCTGGGAATTTGCTGCAAGTGATGATGAGGTGTGAAGTCTAGAGTCATGTGGCACAGTGTGAGCCTTTTCACTCCCAGCTTTCAGGTCCCTGACCCAGTGGATGCAGCAGGAGCATCTAGCACACTGGGATGGGAGCAATGAAAAGAATTAAGGCTTGTAAACATTTCCAAGGACGCAGTAATGCTCCTTGAACGTGAGCTGCTGTTGCTGGACTACATACCATTCGACTGGAAGAGTGAGCTAGCTAGCCTGTGTGGTGCCATTGAAGAGGATGTGAGATTGACATGTGGACTGTCAGCTAGCTGGAGAGGGTGTCAGACCTTTATCTCCTCTGCTCACAGCCCTGCTTGCCAGTCCTGCTGTAGTTCCATGCCTGGACTCCTTAGGACTCCTGACTCCATTCTGATTCCCAGGGCCTATGGCCAGTAGAAGGAACCACTGCCCTGTCCTTCACCCCGTGACCAGAAGGAGATACTGACCTGACCTTCATCACCCCATGGCCGATAGGAAACATTGCCCTGTCCTTCATCAGGGGCCCTGTGGACAGCAGAGGGAGACACCATCCTGTCCTTCACCCCGTGACCAGCAGGAGACACCACCCTGTCCTTCACCACCCCATGGCCGGCAGGAAACACTGCCCTGTCCTTCACCACCCCATGGCCGGCAGGAAACACTGCCCTGTCCTTCACCA